AAAGAATAATTTAATATCAACAACTCGAGTTTTTGAGAGAAGTATAATAATGAATCTTACAGAAAATAATAATTCATGATTTAATTAGTTTTTCGTTTTCAAATGATGTTCTTTGTTAAGAATTATTTAATATCAATAAATCGAGTTGTTGGAAGTTTCACAAATCGAAATACCACGTGCTTAAGAAATGATGTCGCAAAGATTCAAACACAACACGTTTTGATAAACTATTCTCAATAAGACGGCCCCTAATTTTTTGTATCGATAACTATTATACTTAATTTAACCATATTCCATCCGAACCAGGGTGGGTCCCGGGACGCACCCTCTTATACTCTCCCTCCGCCACTATTCATACATACAAATTTAATTAACAAAATGTATCATGAAATTCATCAAACAACAATGGAGTTTATCAAATCCACAATGAACCAACAACTCTCACATATCAACGATTTTTCAAAACTGAAGTTATAACAAAATTTTATTTTCAAATCCACGAAGCAAACGATTATTCAAACAATGTACTCTTCCAAATCCATAATGGAACAAATCAATTATAAATTTAAAGATTTTTAAAACTCAAAATACTCATTTTGAAATCCAACAAGCAAACTAGGCAAAGTAACCTTCAAGTGCCAATGGGGGCTATGGTTTATGCAAAGAACTTTGGCACAAAGAAGACAAATTTCAAATCTTTCGTCTATGCTAGAGATTCCATATAAAAGAATACCATTTATTTTAAAATTTGTCGGGGAAAACTAGTTGACAATAATTTTCTTTCTTCCCATGTTGGGGTGCAATGGTTTCTTACGTGCGTGATGGGTACGTTACGTATCTTAATAGCCCCATGCCCGTGATGGTGAGAAAAGAAAAAGGAGTTAGCCGAAAATTGTCCGAGTTAACCTTAAGACTTAAATAGATCGCTTTAAGCGTAACATTGTCGGAATTTTAATTAAACACAACTAGTTTTTTACCCGCCCGTTGGGCGGTGTATTTTGTATGGTTGTTTTATAATTCGTTATAATATTCTAATTGTTATTATTATTTATGTTTGCTAAGGTAATATACATGGAATTGTAAATCCCACTTACCTTATTTCAGGTATTATTTCATACTTTTATACCTTTTGTTTATTTATGAACATTTTAATTTTATTAACTAAGCTCTTTGTAGAAGGTTCTTCATTGATTTAGAATTTTTATTTATCGAACTCGCCCTTTAAGATTATAAACATAAGAGATTATTCATTCTTTAGCACAGAATTGTGATAAAGAAGTTAAAAAACTTACGGCTACAAAAGAAGAAGTTAGAATAAGAAAATATGCTTCAATTAATAAAAAAAAATAAGCGAAGAGCTTTTTATTTTCTCTCCCTTCTCATATGTCGGTATATGATAATAGAGAATATTCCGATCTAAATCCCATGAATATCGTGTATTATCACTTACACATACAATTTTGGAATAATGAGGAAACTCATTAGCATCCACTTCCATCAATCTTCCATGTACTTGTTTAATTAGCTTGAAATGTTCTAGCAAAACCAACCACAAACAAAACTATTAGCTGTCACTAACTTATTAAAGCAATATTTTCAGCAAATTAAACTGCATATAATTAAACACAATTTATATTTTATAGAGAGCTATATATCTCCTGCAGAAAAGAATTGTGCTTTATTACCTAATAACAACATAGACAAACAATGAAAGGAGTAGTCTTCAATACAACTCAACTCATTTTATCATTCAGATTCCTCATCTGTGAACTGAATATATGCATCAATCCAAATAGTAGTTTGTAAGAAAACAATCATGTCAAAATCAATCTTTAGTTAGGGATTCAATGCAGAAAAATTCACCTTAATGAAACAAACAAATGTCACCGCAAACATGTAGAAATTAAAAAAAAAATCGAAATAGACAACCGAGAAACCACCATTATAATTTTCTTTCTTCTTCACGACCTTTATAAAACCCCAATTATGTTCCCTTCTACTTATAACCCCTTTGCTACCTACTAATTACTAACCAGATCATCATTGTATAGCTAGCTAGTAGTAGCATGTCAATCATGAACATAAAACATATAAACAATCATCACAACTCTACTTTCCATTTCAACATTCAAGAAATCGGGTTGCAATAGGCATTCAAGAAAAACGATCAATTATTCAACCGAAGGAGGTATGCCCTAATTCCAACCAATTAACCCTTCTAATTATATTTTATATACATGAAAGTATATGGTGACCCTTCTCAGTAAAAAACAAAGAAGAAATATATTCACTCATCGAGAGTGGGAAAATTTACCATCCAGCAGTCGTAATTTGGAAGAAATTAAGAAAAGAATGGGAAAAAGAGTATAACTCGGTCAGTCAACAGCAAACAATAACATATTGCTGAGAAAGTGAGACCAGTTGCCAGCTTCAGATCAAGGAGGAAGAGGGAGCAGTCGACAACCCTCGGCTTGGTTCACCTTATCTTCACAATGATCAGATTAACTTTTTTCGTCAACAGGCAAAAATATGTTACAACTGCTCAAAATTCTGTCATCTTATCGTTGTCTCGTATAATTTCTGCCTCCTATTCTCATACAAAGAAAAAAAATCGTATGCATTACCATTTCCTTCTCTATAAATTATGAGAATACAAATATTAGAAATCTATAAAAATTTAGCAACTAATAAGAGGGCTTTGTTTATTTTTATGGTGGTTGACATACTTTCTTGATTTTTTATTTTCAATGTTGGATTTTATTTCTACAGAGACAATCAAAATGGGACAAGGGATAGAAACAAATTAAAAGTTTGTATTAATAATTAATATGTTTTCATTTAATCAAAATGAATAAGAAGTTTTACAAAAATAACAATTATTGCTCTGTCAAGTTTATATTCAGAAATTTTGCTATTTAATTTATACTTGTTTTATTTGATAGGTATATACATAAGAAAGAAGTGAGTGTTTGATAGCAAAAAACATATAGTCATATCGTTCATTTCTCAAAGTCAATTGATTGTCAAACGTTTATTTTCTCTTAGACCATCGTTTATATTTTGTATTGAAAATATTAATATTTATGTGTGTGCTTTTTTTTTCTTCATCAAAATGTAACTTATTATTAAGTTTTAGTAAAAATGAGTAGAAAATTTACTTAATCAGATTTAATCAGCTTGGGTTAAACAAATAGAATATATGTCACTCTCTGTTTCCATCTTTATAGTTTGTTTAATCGAATTTTTTTTATTACTTAGGTGTGTGTTTTTTGTTTAAATGTTTCCTAAAAAATTAACTTATTTTAATTTTAGTAAAAATGAGTAGAATTATTAAAAGAAGAGAGAGAAAACTTCATAAATAGATCAATAAATAGTTTTTTGTTTGAAAAAAAATTGTCCACCTTGGCAACTTGTGCATTCACCAAGTGCTTATGTGGCAAGAAGTTATTTTTGAATAGCCATAATATTTAGTATAGATATAGATAGATAGATAGATTAGGGATGAGAATAAAACCCGAATCCATGAGTATCTTACCCGACTCAATTTGGTAAACGCGAGTAAAATACATGTTCGGGTTTAAACTCAATACACTGTTCACGGGTTGGGTTTAGGTTTAGTGATACCCAACCAATGGATACCCGCCCACACTTATTCAGTCGCCCTACTCTCCCCAAACTCTACCCTAACTCTAATTTTTCCCAATCTAACTCTTCTCAAACCCTACCCTAATTTTATTTCTTACCAAGGTAATGTTTTCTTTTTTCCAAAAGAAGTGAGATGGATAAATTAATAATTGAAGTTAAACTTTGTTGGTTTGCTGCTCTCTAACAAACAAAAAGGGAATGAACGAAATACAAAGAATTGTGTGCATTTATTTAGTGTAATTGTGATTTGTTTGAATTTTCTAGACTAGTGTTTTATGTATGGATAATTTGTATGTGAAAATTGATGTTTGAATTTTATTTTAATAGGAACTTGTTATTATAAATTTTTACTATAAAAACCCACAGGTACCCATGAACCGGCGAATACCCAGTGAGATGAGTTGGGTTTGATTTTTCCAAATTCAATAGGTTTTATCGAGAATATTTTTTACGAATAAACTCATGAATTTGGACTTGACAAATCCCGATCCAACCCGACCCATTGCTATCCCAATCACAACGCCAACACCAACCATATAAGATAATACTAGACGGACGAATTCAAATTACAATCCTGAACCTCCGGGGTAGATTGAAGTTTGAAATCTCTTTGTTATTTCTTTGGTGGGTTTTCTGAGGTTAAGACACCGAGCGATCAACAATTAGTGAATTACTGTTCAGAAAAGGGGCACTTTGACTACTGACACCGGCAGGCATGGGATTGCGGCCTATGTGAATTTGAAGTTTTTGTTTTTTGTTTTTTTTGAACCAAGGACACAGACGCTCTCTCTTCATCTATCTATTGCTATTGCTATTGCTATTCTTTCTTTTCCCCACCTCTGTTGGAAGTTGGAGATTATATTATAGACTTTGGAGTTGGCGAATGTGACCAACATTTGTTTAATGCTCCTTCATCCATTATTAAACAACGTTGAGAAATATACTAAACCTGCCCAAAACCCTGTCAGAGTGTCTTCAAATCCATAACAGTATTCAAATTCCTGTCAATAGCAGATTGATGGAGGGCTAGCTTAGTTGAAATAAATTTTGCTAAAAAGAACGTATTCACAATCACAGGTGCGCGTGTGATTGTACGCATTGCGATGGCAATTTTGCCCATACCCATGGGTATTTTACTATCCAACCCAATTGGGTTGGGTATGGATTCCAAATAAATGGTAGATGGGTAGAGTTTGATGGATTTGTACCCATACCCATTTACTTGGGTTGGGTTGGGTTTTTAACAAATGGATTTGGGTTTGTACCCATGCCCAAAGGCAAATTACAGTTTGGTACCTAAACTTAATAGATATGCATATCTAGTACCTAAATTTAATTTTTTTTGCATATAAGTCCTCAAAATACCGATGAAAAATTACGTTTTGGTACCTAAATTTTTTTGGTCTTACATTTTGGTACCTAAACTTTTCAAGTTTTACAAATAGGTCCAATAGCCTAGCCGGGTTGGTACCGTGATTCTTGGACTATCGATAAGGAGATTCTGTAATCGGAATCGGGTGCTTTTCCCATCCTCCCTGTTGAGTCCAGACCCCAGACCCCAGAATAAAGCGTATTGAACAGTCTGTTAAGAATCCAGCAATCCTAATGCCCACCAGGCCCAAATCTAAACACTGGCCCAATACCCACACTAGGTTACGGTACGAAAATGCAGAGCATACCAGTTATTGGATCCAACCTAAAACTCAAACTGAAGCAGCAGCAGCCAGCAGCCAGCAGCCAGCAGCCAGCAGCCACTCATCCAAAAGCACCAGCAAACTTTGCTTATCATGTTCAGGGTTGCTGATTAAGGGTCTAGCTTTAAGTGTTCAACCCCATATCTGCTTAGATAAAAGACAGGCAATCGACTTAATCAAAACATCCTAATTTGTTCCAATCTTTCAATTTGGTGATTCAGATTGGCTTCTATCATGTTTTCGGTCCTCACTTTGTAATCAGCTGAATCCGCAAAATGTAAAGAGATCATGCCATTGACATACAATCATAAATAGTTTGTCATTCAAGTTCTATTAACACATTCAAATTTCGGTTCAAATAGTCCAGTTTATATGCAGAGAACAGCTGGATTCTACTATATTCGAAAAGTATGAAGAGCACCGTGTATGGACTCTCAGCTTCTGAGTTTCATTTCTTCCATTGAGGAAGCCTCTGAACCACAACCTGAGGAATGGAGAAACACCACAAAATTTGTAGATAATCAAACATGGCAGCCAACTGCAGTCAAAATCGCGCATTAAAACATAAAAACTTACGTTTTTACGTATCCAGGCCACCAAAACGTTTCAGTTTCTACCTAAAGTCGCTTAGTCACAAAAACTGATAAAAACATGGGTAAAATCAGTAAAATCGCTTAAAATCAGTAAAATCGCGATTCTGAAGCATTTTTATACGATTTTGTTCATCTCATAAAAATGTGCTAATTAGCCCAAAATGATGTAATTTTGGAGACATATCAGGAAAAAATAAAAAAAAGGAAAACATGATTCATCACTCGTTCTACAACTAAACTAGTGTCGAGATAGGGGCTTCACATTAGGTTGAAAATACACCTAATGGTATTCTCAATAGTCGCTGAACTTCTATCAGTCTTCTTCCTTAATCTTCACCTGTGACTCTTACCTGGGTTACGATAAAAGTTCATGGGTAATTGATCGTATGTAATTATGTAAACTCAAACCAGCTTATGAGAATTTGGATTCTCAAGCTCGTTTACGGGTTACGATCTACGTTTATGAGCTTATTATTAAGATGTTATGAGTTTTCTCTACTTTTGAGTCAACACAAATTAGTTTATGTGTTAGATATTACATTTTAATTATGAATTTCATGTAGTTATGCACTTATCTAAAATCTTCACATTCACATTTTACATACTATATGTTGTACTTAACATATTTTAGCTATTTTAGAGGGTGCATCAAAAACTTACGCTTTTACGCTTTAATTCTACGTTTTACGATTTTACCCATTTCCCGCTTCTAGGTAGAATCGCGCTTTTAACTGCATTGGCAGCCATGTACCAAAAAGAGAAAGATGATTGTTTTTAGGATTTAGAAAAGCAGAGGGAGAACAAAGAACAAAAGCTGAAAGAAACACAAACTTGTTCAAGATTGATGGACGTCATTTTGCCAGTGGAAGAGGGGAACTAACAAATTACCTTGCCCGAGTTTTCTTTGTTCCCCACAATGGTTTGACAGGCCAGTCTCCATGTTTCTGGTTTCTGCACAATTGTAAGCAGTAGCTGAATATAGGAGCATGTTATTCTAGAAAAGAATTAGCAGAGGTAAGCTTACAGGCAACAAGCAACTCTAAAGTAACGACTTATGAATGTAGAAACAGACAACTTTCTGTATCCCCGTTCAAAATCCAAGCCATACTCAATCCGAGTCCAACCTGTAATCACTTCTTATATGAGCTCTGTTCTGTTGAAAGTGTTTGAGCATTAACCTTCTCCATCGAAATTTAGAACGTCTCAACTGATTCGGTCACATTAGATGCTCTCTCAGAGAAGCAATCTAATCAACAATCAAGAAAATGTGCCTAAGAATCAAGGCTTTACCTTCTTAAGATACCTGAATTCTGCATCAGTTCTTTCATTCAAAAGATCACTCCCCTCAATAATCTGTAGAAAATAATAGGTTAACCGGGAGAGCCCAAGAACCATATGAACGAAAAGAACCAACTTCATAGAATCGATGATGCAAACCAGGAGAATCTATCACCTATTAGGCATTAGCAACAAAGGAATTTCAACTCTTTAGAGTCATTCACTAACAATTAGCTTAATGCACAGAACTGTTTAAAGGTATGGTGGAAGATCTAATCTGCAGCTTTCCAAAAAATTCAAGTAAACATTCTTTGGATTAATAACATATTCTTAATATTTTAGATCCAATGGAGAACAATCGAAAATGGAAAAAAAGGAGATTAGATAGACCTCAACAATGCAGGTTCCGCAGGTTCCACCACCTCCACAGTTCATTACCTTCCCCTGTTACCATGAATCAAAAAGTCCATTACTTTCAGAACCAATCAACGATTAGCCACTAGATCGAAACCAAAATCTTTGTACGCCATGGATAAAAAAACTTACATACGTCGCGTAAAGCTCGAGCTTGTTATCGAGCATGATGGTTCTCAGAAGCTTCTCCCCACTTACCGCTCTTGCTTCCTCCACAGGATAGCTCCTACCATCACTCTCTGGCTTCGGCTGCCCCGCCGGCAAAACACAGAACACCGCTCTCAGTGATTCCAGGAACTGGAATTAACAGACGAGAAGAGAACGACTACAGTTTTTACTGAATGCTTCTTACCCCAATGAACTGCAGCTCGATCACAGGCTGCTCAGAGACCTTTGGTGATGATTCCGACGAATTGGCGGTTACCGAGACTGAAGCTCCTCTTCTCCGCGGGAGAAGCTTGACAGAGGAGCTCCGGTGGACGTCGCATTTCCCCGGAAAGGATGTCGGTAGGCAGAGTGAGGTCCAAGCGAAATGAGTGGCTGCCATTGCTGGTTTTGCAACCCCTCCCTTGCTATCTCCTCCTACAGAGATTTGCTTCAGTAGGATTTCTCTTTCCTGTCCTCGACGCTTTAAACCGGAGCTCGCACATTCCAGAAATTAAGGCAAGGGTAATTTGGTAATGGTATTCCATCACCCAGAGGAGAGTTCTAATTCAGGCATTCCGTCGAACATCTGAGGTGCAAAAAGCGAAAACATTTTCATTTCGGTTCCTTAATTGGGATTAGATAGGGTAACAACACCCCTTTTGTTGTTACAATAACAACACGTTTCGCTAGGGGGCAAAAAAGTAAAACCAATAATAAGGAAATAAATTTATAAAAATCTAAAACCTGCGATCCGTGTATCTTCTTCAACCCTGTCGCATTTTCTCCTCCGCCTCTGTTTCTTCTACCACCAGTTCTCTCCTTGCAAATCTCGCAAAAAGATAGGGATGATTCCCGTTTCCCCTGCTTCCCACTTAATCACCGCCTAAAAATCGGGATCTGGCCCCGGCGGGATCTGATTTTCCGCCGACAGTGCTATTGGTGAAAACCGTGCCGCCTGAATTTCATCCACGGTGGCGGGGGAAGATTCAGAGCTGCTGATGATTAGTGACGCTCGGAGAGCTTCCTGGAACTGGAGCTCCTGAGCCAGCTCCGCATCCAGGGCCTCCAAAAGAAGCTTCTCCTCTTCATCTTCGTCGAAGAACGCCGAGACTCGGCAGCGGCTGGCGGGTTCGTGGGATGTGGTGGTTGAGGATGACTACCATCCCTGTTTCAACGACCATGGGTTTGGGATCTGCGTTTGCTGCAATCTTTCATGTACTTTCTGTTTCAGTTGAACTAATTTTGGGAATGATTCATTATCTAGTCATTGTGGAAATCGCCATTCCCATCTGACTCGCTCCCTTGAAGTCATTTGTGTTGCTTCTTCTTCATAATAATAATAGATCCTGGCTTCAATGTTTTCTTGGTTTCGGTGACTAAAGAGCAGCTAAATTGATCAATTTGCGTTCTCAATTGATTCTATTATTGTGGAATGAGTGTTAACCAGAACACCACAAAGCATACTACAAATATTTCTAAAGCACAAAAAAAACCTTTTAATGCATACCATAAATTTTTTAAAGCAAACCAGAAACACCACAAACCAGACCGCAATATTTCTAAAACAAACCAAAAGCATCCTAATGCAGATCACTAATTTCTTGAAACAGACCAGAAACACCATAAAGCAAACCACAAATATTTTTAAAACACACCAGAAACCTCCAAATGTAAACCACTAATCTCCTTAAGCAAACCAGAAACACCACAAAGCATACCACAAATTTTTCTAAAACACACCAAAAATATCTTAAAGCATACCACAACCACGAGAAAACAAACAAAAAAAAAAAAAACAGACCATAAACAAGAGAAATCAAACCACAAATCTCATAATGCAAACCACAAAATTCGACAACTAGTGAATGATAACTAAACTTCAGTGATCGATGACCATTATATCATCATGCACTACGTTTTCATGTGTGTCATGATATTACGATCGGATATAAATAAGTTATTTTAACAACAAAAAAATGCCCTCTAACTTACTAGCTCGACTCAATGCTAGTCTGTAAATTTACATAGAGTCTCATATTTATCGATGCATTACATCTGATTCATTCTCTAAGAGGGAATCAGAATTATTATTTCAAAATTTATCTACTCTTCATCTTTTTCATAGAAATTCATCTTCGAAGTGTCAGGTAGAACTAGAAATTTAGCTTTGCTGCTCATAAAAAACTATAGCTTGTTTTATTATTTTAAAAATCTTTCCGTTAGCGGCTGCTAATTAGTTGTTATAAAATGAAAAGTTAATTCAAAATGGGCCTTGGTTAGTGTAGAGCTAGTGCAGGCGGCCTGCATGAGAGCGGGAAACGCGATACTTTTTTGTAAGGACTATTATGCCCTCTTTTACTTTTACGGTAGAAAAATTGAGTCAACTAATATCTAATAAAAAGTCAGTAAAACAATAGTTTTCTATTGGCTGACACCTCTGTTGTCACTGTAACAACAAATAAAGTGTTGTTACCCTATCTAATCCCTCCTTAATTCGTTAAATTGCACAGTTACTCCCCCGTTTTCATCACGAAGTACAAATACAAACGCAGTGCCGGCCGCCGGGGGGAAGGGGTTCAGGCGACCGGAGATTGATTTGATTAAAAATGTGGGGGCAAAAGATGGCCGCTCAAGCTGCAAACGAATAGGGCAGCGAGCAACCATGGAAGCCTCCTATCTTTACTGTGAGCCCATCACACTGACGTGTGCCACAATTGAAACCTTTTCTCGTGGAATACCACGCCACCGCTACCTCAAGAGGTAAAGCGCTCGGCCTTGGGCTCTGCTTGCTTCTCTTCTCCCCCATTGCCCCTGCTTTTATAGCAATCTGCTAGGGTTTACTCTTCACTGTTTCCCATTTACTTAAACGACGCCGTAGTTTTGATTCCCCCGTTCCCATTTCCATTACGATCGGCGTGTGGATAGCTCGTCCAAGTTCAAGGAAATTAGGCTTGTAGCTGAAGAAAATACAGGAATGGAAAGAGTTCGATTCAATCTCAACAACGTGAGGTTAATCGTCGGTCGTCGGCAGCTCCATGGATCATGCAGTTCGGATGTGAAGCGGCCGCGGCGGCAGCAACCTACTCTACCAAAGTCATTACCGATTCCCGACCTTCATAATCCGTACTTGCATCAAAGTCCTAATCCTCCTGAAGCTAAGTACTCGCAGCAGGAGTTCGCTACGCTCTGTAGTCTTCTCAGAGAGTCCAATCTCTGTCCCGGTTCTTCCCTCCAGAATGCTTTGGACGGGACAGGAATCGAGCCGGAGCAGCCTGGTCTGTTGGAGGCGGTATTTGAGAAATTCGATTCGTCTCCTAGATTGCTCTACTCGGTGTTTTTATGGGCTGAGAAGAGACCGGGGTTTCGGTGCTCTGAGGCGCTGTTCAATTCGATGATTAACACACTTGGCAAAGCGAGGGAATTCGACACTGCGTGGTCTCTGGTTCTTGATACAAGTGGTGGAGATGAAGCCCTTCATTTGGTTTCCGGTGATACATTTGCCATTCTCATCAGAAGGTATGCTCGTGCAGGTAAGGTGATTGTAGACTGTTCAGTTTTATGCTTACAAGTTCCGCCATTGCTTTTAGTATAACATGCGTGATTTAGGAACTTCCATTGTCTGTAAGTGGTGCTGTATATTGTTTTATGATCATGAAGCGGTAACTGGCAGACCTCGTTTGTTGCAGGATTACCTGAAGCTGCAATCAGGACCTACGAGTATGTGAGAAATTTAGACTTGCTTGGCAAGCCAGATGCTGGAATTCGCTTGCTTGAGATTTTGTTAGATTCTCTTTGCAAGGAAGGGCATGTTCAGGCAGCTGCAGAGTATTTCCGGAGTAAAAAGAAGACAGAACCTTGCTGGGTTCCCACAATTCGTGTATATAATATACTTTTAAATGGATGGTTTAGGTCCAGAAAGCTTAAACAAGCAGAGAGGCTTTGGTTTGAGATGAAGAAGAATGACGAAGTGAAACCGAATGTTGTGACCTATGGTACTCTTGTAGAAGGATATTGCAGAATGCGACGTGTTGAGATTGCACTTGAGTTGGTGGATGAAATGAGAAGAAAAGAAATCAAGCCGAATGCTATTACATACAATCCAATTATTGATGCACTAGCTGAAGCTGGCAGGTTTAAGGAGGCTTCTGGGATGATGGAGCACTTCTTACTGTGCGAGACAGGCCCTACTCTCCCCACATATAATGCTTTGGTTAAGGGATACTGCAAAGCTGGGGATCTTGTAGCCGCCAGTAAGATTCTTAGAGCCATGATCGATAGGCGATTCATTCCTACTTCCACAACATATAACTATTTCTTCAGGCATTTTGCAAAATTCCGAAAAGTTGAGGAGGCAATGAACCTGTATACGAAGATGATTGATTCTGGATATGCCCCTGATCATCTCACCTACAATCTCTTGTTGAAGATGTTGTGTGAGGACGAGAGGTTAGACTTAGCTGCTCGGATTAGTAAGGAGATGGAAGTGAGAGGATGTGATATGGATTTGGCTACTAGCACAATGTTGACTCATTTACTATGTAAGTTGCACAGATTTGAAGAAGCAGTTGCAGAGTTTGAGAAGATGTTGAGGAAGGGTTTAGTCCCTCAGTTCCTTACTTTCAAACGATTGCATGACGAGTTAAGCAAGCGAGGGATGAATAAGATGGCTCAGAAACTAAGGACCATGATGTCTTCGGTCCCTCATTCCACAAAACTACCCAATACTTACGACGGTGATGGAGATTCATCGCGATACGCAAGGAGGAAATCTATTTTGCGGAAGGCAGAAGCTATGTCTGAGATTCTGAAGACGTGCAGCAACCCAAGAGAGCTTGTTAAGGGTAGAGGTCTGAATCCTAATCCTCTATCGAGTGCTCATCAGTTGATGATGGACATAAAAGGAAGAGCCAACTGAAATGAGGAATAATGAAGTATTAGAGGGTTAATTCTCTATTCTGCATTCATTTTACACTGCTCTGAGCGTCATATGTGCATGAATTATAGCTCATGCCAAAGGAGTTGGGGCACTGAAGAAATGGTCTCTTGATTGAGTTTAGAAGAAAGGTTCTGCCCGTGGCGCCAAGTTCACTGTTTGCCCATTTGTTTATTTTCATGGAGGAGATCTCAAAGTTGGGAGCCTTGACACAAGTTGTTGGTCCACGAAAGAGAATATTTTGAGGGTGCAGAAACACCAACCGTATAACAGTGTTAAAAATTCTTGCTTCAACTCCAGATTGTGATGGCTGGAAGTGGGTCCCCAACTGCTGCTGGTAATCATCTCAATCGATTCCTTTTGAATTATTGGCATAATTGTATAAAGAAGTATGCTTATTTGGTTTTACCGATTGCTCTTCAGACACATAAGTATGATGGTTTTCTTTTGTCATGCTCGATTGTTACTAATCAGACTAGTTGGCTGCTGCAGAAGTATTGCAGAGGTGATAGGATAATTGGGGGGGGGGGGGGGGGGGGGGGGAGATTTTAGGGTTATAGTTTTAGTTGTTGTAGTGTGACCTAAGTAGGTGAAGGATTTGTGTGATCAAAACAAAACCAAATGTTGGAAAGGAAATGGCTCCCCCCCTGCATTAAGTTTAGCACTCGAGAGAGTGCATATTGGTTGAAGAATAGTTTCATTTCCATATTGCTCTCTCCCTCTCCCTCTCCACAAGACGAGAGGGGAAGAAAACCAAACCTAAATGGTTGTGTCCATAGTACATCCAAGCTTGAATTGTTAGGTATATATAATTCGTTATAATGTGTCAACCTCCTTTGCGTTGTCAATCCAGTGTAAAGTCTCTTTCTCACTATGTACGTATGGGTTGGTTGAATGACAAAATTTTGTCTCTTAAATAGAGTATTTGTACAACTTAAGATGATTGTTTCGTTTTTTTTTTTTTTTTTTTGAAGAGAATTGTTTGGCTTTGTGCTTAGTTTAATGTTACATATAGTGTGTTCATAGAAGAAAATACAATGAGGTCAGTTGGTGTAGTGTGGTAAAAAGTGAAATCAACTATGTTAATACGAAGAGTAAAGTAAATGGTGAGCTATGAATGTTGGAAGATGTGTACTTCATATTAAATTATAACATGTTTTACAAACATGTGATGATTTTCAAACTTACGAACATTATAACATGCTGTTTTAGAAAAGGACATGTTTGTGTAATTTAATAGGCGCTATACAAGCTTTATGGCTAATACATTCGTCATGTTGATTGGGTAGCTTGCAGTTGCAGGTTAGTTAATATGAATATTATACAATCACTTCCTCTTTCCATTTGAACTATAAAGTATACTCATAGCTTGCTACTATGAGGTTATCAATTATTTCATGAATCAAAATTTGGCTTTTACAAGCTTGGTTGGGGTTTTTTATTTTCTCCTCATCATATCGAATAGTTGGCTTGGCTGTTCAAAACAAACAAAAAAAATAGTTGAGAGAAAAAGGTGTTGGCATTATTGCAATTTTGCTACTATATGCAGTCTGCAGCACAACCTCTCCCTCGTGTTTCTCTCCCACTGCTACTACTCCCAAAAACAGATAAAAACACAGACACAATTATTCCTTCACCCCAAAATCCAAAAGTGAAAAACTGAAAATAGAACATTTTCAGAAACAGACAGAAAAACAGAGAGGGGGAGAGCAAAACGAGCAAATGAAAAATGCAGATTGGGGAGAGAAAGTGGGCATTAGAAATTGAAGAATCATAATTTCATAACAACACACAAATATCATCATCTATTCATTCTACTGAGAATGGTGGAGAGAGAGTTTGAAACTTTTGCTTTTTAATGCTCCTCCCTCTCCCTCTCTTGGTCCGAAAAGACTCTTGCTGCTTGCTTTCCTACTTTGGTCCATAGCACGATTCCCCCCTCTCTCTGCATAGCTTTGCTTTCCTGAAAATCGTGCCCCCTTTCTCCTCTGTCTCTCTCTCTCTCTTACCAGGAGGAAAAAAAGGGGAGCGAAGAGGGAATAATGAGTATCATTCAGATTCTGAAGCACGAGATGATGTTTGCGGCGTGGACGGTGGCTGTGGTGATGGCGTTGACGGACAGGAATCAACGGCTGGACTGACGTCCGGAATGGAGATGCCATGGTGATGATGGCGCAGCAGCAGTCTAAAGCTAGCAGCAATGCCAATCTTCCGCACGACATTTCATTGAGTACCCAACAGCAGCAGAAGGAAGCGAAGGCGGCGGCAATGTTTCATGGCTTTCTTGGTATGAAGCCAAGCAGTAGTAGTATTAGTAATAGTAACGATAAAAGAAGCAAAAACAACAATGAAGCCTCTGCAGTTTTGGCCTCCTCTAGAAACGCATCTGCCTCCTCATCTGCTTCTCAATCTATTGTGGCTTCCTTTGCTGGCGCCGGCATTGCTATTCCCGGTGGCCGTGGTGGGGGAGGCCTCCTTTCCACCGCTTCTGATCTCGCCAGTGGTAAGTTGTTCCATCTTTCTGCTTGGGTTTCTCATTTTTCGGCAGAAAGGTTATTACTTTTACATTTGTTCGTTGGTTGTGGTCTTATTTTGATGTTAAAGTGGGAACCTTTTGGCTACCCCCGTTTTCATATCATCACGTCATTAATTGGTAGGAAAACGAGAAAACTGATACCAATCTTGTGTTCTGGAGAATGGAGTGGGTTTATTTCTTATTCATCAGTTTTAGTTGAGTTGAGTGATGGAGTTGTTAGCTAAATTTTGTACCATTCCCTCTTCCTGCATTGTCTTGCATTGTTTCATTATTCTATTCTAGTGACGTTTCGGTGTTGCTTAGCAAACAACTGGTTTTGTTGGCACTTTTCATATTGTTTTGAAGTGTTGGTTCAGTTAAGCTCTCTTGTCTTGCTTGGTGATTGCATTTTCCTTTTGTCAGCATTGGTTTTACTGTTCGAGGTGTTACTCTATTGTGCCTTTTATGTATGCATTAGTTTTGTTAATTACTGCGTATCCCTTTCTCTCCTCATGGTGAGACGCTTGTATCTATGGCGGGGTGAGTTGATAGACGCAATCTTAGTTGGTCTTCCCATGTTTTCGGAGTGTGTTGATGTTTAAAGCTTTGTTGGTGCTCCTTTGTAGAAAGACAGGTTCCAAATCATCTAGAAGGGATTCCATATTATGTGCCAAGAAGTGATCTTTCTGTAGCAGGAAGTAAAAGAAGCAACTTGGATTCTGCCTTTATTGCAAGGGACGGAGTTACACAAATCATTGGCCCTGACTCCTCTGAAAGCCTGCATTTGATGAAGGTTAGCTTCAGGAGGTCCACCAATCTTTGTTCATCCTGCCGACATTGGCGATGAAAGATCCTTTATATTTTTACCATTTGCAGATGTTGAGAAAGGCAGGTCCAGGAGAGAGACCTAAAAGGTCCGCAGATGATGATCAGGGCTTGTTTGGTGTGCAGTCAAGGCCTAGTTCAGCCTCACTTATATTGCAACCTTCTACTACTGGGAGTAGGCTCGATCCTAACAAGTGGGAAAGATCTGCGGTGCAATATCCTCGTCGTGGGAGTCATCATGTTCCTTTTACTCACCAACTCAGTGCAAGCAGATTTGGAGGGGAAGCCACTGCTGCTGGTGTATCAAGTATTTCTCAGGCAGCAGCTGCGGACGAAGGATCCAGAACTAGCATCAAAGGTCCTGGAGTGTTGAGCTCCATCAATTGTGGCGCTGGTAATTCAGAAAGAACTACTGCGGCTGTCCAGGCGAGTGATAGCAAACCCAGGCCTGGTACTCACATTTTAGAACCAGAAGCTTCAACTCATTCAAGGTGGCCTTACTAAAAAGCCGTAGTACTTACCTTTGTTGTTTCGCATTCTTAAACTACTTTTCACTGCTTGAAGGTATTTATAATGGTTCCTTTTATTTTCAGTTGCCAGGTTCCAGCATCTGCAAGTCGGCAAATGACCATATTCTATGGTGGTCAAGCGCATGTATTTGATGATGTTCACTCTAACAAGGTTTGTCTTCTATCCATTTACAGCTCCAGTGGAGACATCATCCTCTGTTGGTATAAGCATCTCTATCTGCAAGCTTTGGTAACCAAAAGCTGTTTTTGTTTGATGAACCTTCGTGGTAATGCAAGCTAACCACTTTGCTTAAAAATAAATGTGATCAAGTGACTTTTTATTTATAAGCTGATAGTACACTTCGAATACGAGGCCTGGGATCTCAACTGTGCAAAGAAATTTGCGTGCCCGACGAGTCAAATGCTCATGCTTCAGTTGTTGTTGTTCTCGGATATTCTTAGATCTTCTTGGTTGAAATAGAAGCAAGTGCATGCTCTTGGTTTATTGCAGAGAGTGCCAAGTGTTGTTGCTTACATCTATATCATTTATGTTACAGGGAAAACTATACACATGCTGTTTAGTTCATTCCTTGCACTGCGTTCTCTCGTTTACCTTTCCATGATCTTGGAAGAGGAGTTCCAATTTATAAGTTAGTAACGTTCCCCCAAGTATTGGTTAATCGGCTCATTCTTCTCCTTTCTCTTCGTCTAGGCAGTGTTCCTATTGGACCTTCACTCTTCTGCAATGCATAAAGCTTAGTATTCCTGGACCTTCACTCTTCTGCAATGCATAAAGCTTAATGTCTGTTTAGACCCATCATTGCTTGCTCCAATCTGATTCCTCTGCTACATATACATGGATGTATCATTCAAGGAAACATACTATACAGACTGAACATGCAGAGAAATTCTATAATAAACTCCCTCTAAGTCACTTAACCAAAAGCTTGCTGCCCCCAGGTTGAAACTAAGGTACCACGACTTCACTGATTGCTGCTGTTGGTTCATGTTTTCTTCAGGCAGATGTTATAATGGCGCTGGCTGGATCAAACGGGATTTCATGGTCCACGACTTACACGCCAAAGCCTACCCTTACTACAAGAGCAAGTGGTGGAGGGAAAACTTCCGTGGGGAGCGTTGGAGAGTACGACACAAGTGATGCAGGAATCAATGGCGCGTTATCGGAGCGTGAGCTCCGAAGAAGGCTGCCAGTCGTCGGTAGTTCCATACCTACTGGGGTGCCCTCTAGTGACCAGATGATAATACGACCAACAGGTGAGGATTGAGAGTACACAGAGTACCCCCACTGAAAATTGAATACCTTGACCTTGATCCGTTAATTAAAAAGTAATGGATGCTGCATTGTGCAATGGATGTTCTTAGGCGGTCATCATCGTGAGTGCGGCGGTGTTGTATTGGGAAGTGGTAAAGACTAAAGAGACGAGAGACCAAGAGCTCAAGGGAGAAGGGAGTGCAGAAAGAAGAGGTGTTTGATGTTTTTCTGAATTGGTGTAGAAGAAATAAGTTGTCGCTGCTGTTGCTGAAGAAGGGCGGTGAGTAATGGTCAAGGGTTGTTGTAAATGTAAAGTAAAATGAAATGTCATGTCTTGTTTTATGGGAGAAAAAAGGGCTTGTTTTTCATTTTGTACTCTTATTGCTATACTATTTTTACGGATGCTCATGCTTCCGTGTTGTCTTTCTTATGTCATATGCGAATGCGACCAATCCTATATTCCCTTTTCAATTTTTTTTTTTACAAAGGGGATTTTATTGCATTTCAAACTGATCAGTTACAAAGAGGGAGAACGAACCAACAATCTGGTTCCAACAAGAGGAAGCCCAAAGGCATCCGGTTACAAACAAAGTTGTGTAAGACAAAATGCAGCAACAGAGAACAAAACACAGTCTGCAAAGCAACCATTCGGAAAGAGCAAAACCCTTGACCGAAAACAGATCATCAAGAATCTCTCTTGTAAACAACCAATCAAAGTGCAACAAAACCAAAATCGCCGCCTCCTGGGGAAAACTCAAAGGCATCCATCACAGTGAATCTAGAAACTAGACTGCATGGCGGTGGAAGAGGATATAACCAGATTGCACCAAGTTGAAGAGGCAGAGGAGGCCGAGGCAGAGAGATCAGGTTTGAAGAAGAGCAAAAGCTCCCAAGGTAGCCACAAACCTCCACGAAAACACCGAATCCCAATAACAACCACCGGAGAAGACCCAACCCACCACCATCTGACAGCTCACCAAGGCACTCAGACACCTAGGGAGGTCGGAGAGGGGAAGAAGGGAATGGCTTCACCTTGAAGATGATGCCACCAACAGGGGACAACCCACCATCCAGATCTGGAAGAGGCTCCCAAGTTGCAGACTCCAGCTCCTACGACGAGCAAGTCCAAGAACAAGGACCAAGATCTAAAAGAAGAGCCATAGCTCGACTGGAAATGAGAAAACTGAAAGTCAGAACGGTTGGAAATCCGATTGAAAACTGCCCAGGACACAGGCAAGAGCACCAAAGCAAGAAAAGGAAACAAAAGCAGGAAAATAAAAAGCTTTGGGCTATCGCAGGTCACCTAAAAGGAGCCGGCGGCAGCCCCCGGAATCAGAAAATGGAGGCTGGAAGAAGAGAGAAGGCAAAGCTTCTTTCAAAAAGGAAAAGGTAGTGAGAGAGAAGAAATTCGTTGTTTTTTGTTGGTTGAAAAAAAAAAACCGAAAGAGCGCACAAAAACCTGAAAGAAAAGCCCAGATAAGGGTGTGACAAAAAGCCCATCGGTTGGAAGATGGATATTTGTAGTAGTTGTGATTGAACCGTTGGACTGATCTGAAATGTTACCGTACCGGGCGGTAGAATCGGGAAAATCGGAAATCGGGCCAGTTCCGATACGGTACTAGAAATTCAATGAATTAGTGTGTCGGCCGATATTTCTTTGGCAAACCGATATTTCGCGCAATATCGGCCGGTTTTGATCCTGTCGGCGGTACTCCAATTCCCAGTCCCTGGTGTTAGTCATTCATCTTACAGTCTGTCGACCGTCAGACTCAGATCTATGGAGCCAAATCTTCCAGAAATCCTTCCATGTGTTCTAACGCACAAATTGAGGGATGATCGGGGAAAACGAAAAGGGAACCTGGAGCTGATGTTCCTCAATCGGGACGAAGATGAGCTTGACAAAGAATCCTACGAGTCCCACAACCACAATCTCGTACAAAAAAGCACCGCTCCAGATCTGCACCCTCCCTCTCAATCTCTCTCAGAACGAAACATGCAACGACATCGAAGCAGCAATAACAAGTGAGAGGGAAGAGAAACAGAGAGGGAAGAAGTGGCGTTCGCACTCCTGTTGTCAATCACCATCTCCAGACTCTAACCGGAGGCGCTGCTCGCCAACAGGTGGTACAAAGGAAGAGGATGCGGCTCCGCTTTCTCAGTCAATGAAATTAGGGATTTTAATTTTTATCACCGAAAGGAGGAAGACGAAGAGGGAAAGACGATGACAGAAGTCTAACAGAATTGGTTTCCTCTTCGTCCATTCCAATCTTCCTTTTGCTAAAGCTATAACGGGCTTTAAACTTCGCAAGCCCAATAAAAGAACTAAGACCGGATGACAATAAGCAGACCAAAAATGAAATAATGAGAACAATTAACAAGGCAAACCAAACTTGGTTCTTTCTCAGCCCAAGTTTATTTTTATATAGATATTCATGTTTGTTTCATACATTGATATATGTTGATACTTGATATTTTATGATTTTCTATCCGGTATTTTTCGATATTATTCCGGTATTACTTCGGAATGGTAACATGTTTTGACCGGTATGATTTTTTAATATAAAAAATATTTTAGTGTTACAAAAATGGTATTTACCGGTACGAAACGGTTGAACCACGGTCGTACCACAAAATACCCTACCAGAAAGGAATCCGGCATGACGTTCGGTACGGTTTCGCAATCCTTGAAAATGTAAACTATATACCAATACCAGCCTAATACATAATATGCTTAGATGTTCCAAGGAAATCGTGAATAGCCCAGTGGAATAGAGGAGTCAAACAAAACAAGACAACAATAACTTCAATTTTACAGGAAATCCAACCGCAACGCAATTTTCTGCAACATGAACGTCTTTCCAGTGTGATGAGGATTGAGGACAGCCGGTACTACCCACTATGTTCTCTGATCACATAGAAAAGAATCTTAATCGGCTGCTGGTTTTCCTACGTCGTAGTTTGACCTCGAATCTACTCATTCTTTGAACATTCCCCCTGCAAATTGAGAGACTAGCTTCTCAGTACAGAGCCGAAATGAAGATTGTTATGTTACAAGTCAATGACTGCAATAAGAATATTGATAAGAACAAGTTCTTCCGGCAACCTTACTAGGTAACCAATCTCCAGAGTGCTAACCTGAAATGCTTTCAACAGAGAATAGCAACGCCTTTGCTCCGTCATTGCAGCAACATACTTCTTCAGTTCTTCTTGAGATCGCTGAGAGTCCTCTTCTCCTCATAAAGTTTATTTACCAACTTTTGTAGCTTCTGTTAGCAAGATGAGACAACAATTACCATTACCATCTTAATACATAAACAAAGAGATTGGAAGTCACGTTTCGACATTTCTCGTATGCGAAGAGTATGTGGGATGACCTGCTGACAGTTGTTCACGATTCCTTCCATTTAAGCAGTAAGCTTCATGCGACCGTCAGGACTAGTAATTGCATCCTGGAACTACAAAGGGTCAAAGGAGAAGTTACAAGTTAGTCACCATTAACTCGTGACAGTTAGGTGCATAACTGTTTTTTCTTTTGAATAGTTAACTTCCTTTTGCATCTCTTAAGTTAGAAAGCAGTAAGAATGTGACAATCCTGTTCAAAACAATAGTTGTAGATTACATCATACATCTTTTGTTTAGAAACAACAATCCATATAAGAACTTACCAAATTATTGCAAGAAAATTAAACAAATTGCCATCACAATATAGCATCTTGTTGTTGGCAAAGATTGTATCATGCTTTAGCGCAAGCCTTAAAGAAACCACAGACTTAGAGCTAGATATAAATGCATGATATGTTAATAAATATAAGAAAGATAGTAAGCCACTTCTTTGCAGCATTTCGTTCCCAGAAGTAAGCTACAGATCACAGAACTTCAAAGAACTTTTACTGGGAATTTATTGAGTTCAACAAGGAAGTTTCTTTCAGCATCAAGTCTTTAATCTCCAACAGGGCATTATAGGTATCATAGTATTTACGGATTTGTTGGTGTTTCTCCTGTGGAGATTGAAGAGAAAATTCAGAGGGGGAAAGATAGTGCAAAAATCAACAAGAGATTTTATAGAAGCCCGCATATCATACCTGGATATAAGCATTGAGTTCAGAAAGTCGACGATCATACCTGGAAAGAAAACATGAGTTCACTCAATTGCCAATTATATATGTACAAGGAGTTGATTAACATCCCAAAATCTAAATTCCCTTAAACCACACTTAACCTAAGCATGTGTAAAGTTATCAACAACATACTGGATAACTTCAGATTGAGTAGCCACATCATCAATCCGATGCTTTACTGACAGTCTAGCCCTCAGTCTACCAGCCAGTTCCTAGAAACATAAAAAGACCTAAACATTACCAACAACGATTTTTTATAATAAGGAAGTTTGATTACAAGTTCCATTACTAAGTTCCCCTCAGTTCGAAAAGATACATTTTTTGATGAATCTAATTTTTCCATTGACATTTCCAGCAAACTATCCAGACTCTCAGAAAGGCTCTCATTGTCAAAACCACATTCCACTTTGTCCTCCAATTAACCTCCGCTTCTAATCTAGCACGCTTCGCGTCGTAATTAGCTCTTAGCACACATCTTCATTCTATAGACTCTACAAAAATGTATTCCAATAACCACTCCTGAATCCTCGCTAGGACAAACAAATTAACGCGTTTCAGTGATTACCTTCAATGATTTGAGAACCGGAATCAGTTTATCAATGACTGCATTAACACTAGCTTCTTCAATTCTCTCTTTCAAGTGTCGCGATTCGCTCAGAACATTAGCCTTTCTCCGATTCTGAAAATTTTCGCTCGCAGAATAAGAAGCCAAAAAAGCGAAAGGAATTGGACCGATTGACTCAGGCCGCCTTAAAAAATAAAAGCTCACATGATACATGTTCATCCAAGCTAGCAATCAGTATCGAGCGCGATCCAGTTCACTCTCAAGAAGTTGAAGATCGACCGCTTCATCCTGCGTAACCAACGGATTAAAGGAAAGCAGTTCAATGATAAATCTCTGAAGAAATGAGATTGCGTTGAAGAAAAGTTCTGAAGGATTGAGCCTTACCCCGCAGTCGGCGGTAGCTCGGGAAGACACCATTAACGGGCGGAATGGGCAAATTAATCTGAAAATTTTATGAATGACAAGATAGATGGAGGAGCGATGTGAAATAAAATCGGTCATGTAGCCCAAAAAGAGTGGCCCATTTTCAGTTGACAAGAGGGGGCCGCAAGTCCTTGTCGGGCTTCAGTTTTGAGTTTGGGGTGGGAACAACCCATTGTCAAATAAACAGGCCTACCAGGATTGGCCCATTGTTTGTTGGTGAAAAAAATGTCTCTACGTTTATTCATCAACCTACTCTCTCAACTCTCAACTGTGTCCTTTAAAATGCAATCAAAGTGAACAAGTTCATTTTTAATAAAGGGTTATAGGTATAATTTTGGATGCATTTATTCTATTGATTGTTGGCCTCAAGGATCGAATTCATGGTGTGGTGGATCTCATCCTCACATTATCATTAGGCTAATTTCTTAAAATTCTATGCATGTTATTTTAACAAACATGTTTCTTTATTATTTTTTACATCAAACATATTCCTACGCAAAATTATCAACATAAATAGCAATTTGTGGTACTCGAGAGAGTATATATAAGCTAATGAGTAACATGATGTAATCAAGAAGATTGTCAGAACAGAAGCGTGCAATCGATAATCCAAACCAAAACGAACACGAATTTAACGTGGTTCACTAACACAATGTGTGCTAGCTAATCTACGGGCAGGGGAGAACAAATTTCACTGATTTGAGGAGAGTATAGGTTACAAACCAAATTCCAGAATGGACAAACCAAACAAACTAATATGACTCACCTTACAACAAATTAGGATGATGAAGAGTGTTTATAGAACTCTTCTCCTAATCCCAAACAGAAAACTGAATACATTTTCCAAACATACAAGGAAAAGACCAAAACAAAGCCAAACCATGGTAAAGGAAACCGTACCGGACGTCATACCGGCTCCGCCAGTGGTAGGGTATTTTGTGGTACTACCGTGGTTCAACCGTTCTGTACCGGCAAAATACCGTTTTTGTAATTAAATAGTATTTTTTTGTTAAAAAACCGTACCGGCAGATTTGTGATACCGTTTCGGAATAATACCGGAATAAAACCGGATATACCGGATAACAAACCTGAATAAACTAAATAAGCATATGTAATATAGAATTCAACAAACTGCAACATTACTGAATTAACTAAATAATCGTTCAAATTTCATGTTTACGATCAAGTACAAAACAACCAAACAACATTCTTACACCACAAGTTCAAACAACATTATCAAACCAAACAACATTCTCAAACCACAAGTTCACAACTACCACAAACACAAACTAGCAAGCACTACAATGTTCACAAACAACGTTTCATATCGTCAAACAACACCAAATGTAGATAAGTCTACATTCTGCAAGTCGTCCCCTTCATCTTCTTCATCACCAACTACAATACAAGAGAAAACAAGTAAGAATTATTATCAATTATTAGTATTAGAATTCATATCATACATAATTGATTTACAAACAAACCTTCCTCTTCTAATGCTCGATCCAGCTCGTCAATATCCAATTCCTTTTCCCTAGAAGATGAACCTTCTTCCCCTTGTGACAACCAGTGACTAGTAACAGTAGAATCAATGCTTTCAAGGCTTATGGGATCATATAATTCTTTTTTGTTCTTGTTATAATACTCCCTAATCAAAGTAGAAAACATAAAATAATTCAATTCAATAGTAAGCATAGAAAGTATGAATTCAACACACAAGTTCTATAATTCAAATCATTACCTATTCTGCAATCGTAAGTTGTAATTCACAAACACCAAGTCACTAAGCACTTTATGCTGCAATCTGTTTCTTCTTTTGGTATGCACACGTTCGAAGACACTCCAATTACGTTCACAGCCAGAAGAAGCAGCAGTTTGACTAAGAATTCGAATAGCCAACTTCTGAATATTTGGAGCATCAATGCCAAACCATTTCCACCACTTATCTACATATAAAACATAGATGTTAGTTTCTTAAATATTGTAATAAATAGAAGAACTTCAATGTAAGTGATATCAATTACCTGGTTGTTGTTTCTGTGCAGAATCTTTTAGCTTCTTTAGTTGCTAATGCACTCTTTATTCCCGGTTGACTACCGGAAGATGACCGTGGAGCAAAGAAAGTGTCAACCGAGCCCGTAGACAAATTAGGAGCAACTCTTTTAGCACTATTATCATCTTGTGCACTAGAAGAATTTGTATCACGAGGTTCTTTAAATCCAGCTTTGACAACTTCAGATTTCTTTTTACTAGTTTCATAACCCTTCAATAGCTTCTGCATGTTTTCGCTCACCTCTTCCGGAACACTTGAGCATATTGAATTATCCCCACTAACACCAGCTAGATGTTTTTTCATTCTAGTGATTCCTCCGCCTCTAAATTCTTTTTGACAATAAAGACAAGTGAGTACCTCCACTTTTCCATCCTGATGCAAGGAACAATGAGCCCAAGTTGGATCACTTTTGCTTCGTACACCCTTTGCGGTAACCTTCGGATTACTAGTAGTTGCTCTTTTATCAACCGATCCGGCTTCTTTTCCACTAGCCATTGCTGTCAAAACAGCCAAAATTCTCATTAGAATAAAGGGTTAGAAGAACCAATATTAGTTAGGGAATCAATAAATGTACCGAGTTGATCTTTCCATCCATATACAACTCAAGAAAGGACTATACTATACACTTGTTGATAGTACTGCAAACTCAAGCCATTTTATTGAGAAACACACAGAAATTAAATTGAGATTACATAGGGCACAAGTTACAAGCGCAAGGACAAACGAGAACACCAAATACTACTGGAACACCGTATCAGAAGGCCAGAAGGTTCAGTAAGAACTAAATTATAACAAAATCAATTGAAGGGGAAACTCTCGACTGAAACTCCAATGCGCGCTTTCTGGCTTCATTGGCTCGTTTCTCACTGCCATGATCAACAAGTATCCTCTCCATCCCTGTGAAGCATTCCAGCACATACTGCCATGCTAATTACCCTTCCTAAGAATGAAGGTAACATTCTATTATCCTAATTACCATCTTCCTCCAACTTGGCCTATATTCATTCTAATTTTGCCATTCATTCAAAGATGGGGGAAGCGTGTTCGCGTCCAACCATACCTGCTGCCGCCGTGTCTTCTTGAGCAGTGGAGGGAGTCGCGTGCCGGTGCCGGAGACGCGTGCCAGAGCAGCGGCGGAGTAGTGGCGGAACAGAGGCGGAGAAGCCTGGAGCAGAGAAACCGCAGAGCAGCGCGGAGCAGTCGCTGCCCTGGTCGCCGGTCGCCGCCTCGCCGGTCGAGAAGAGGGAGGATCGCCGGGCCCTGGTCGCCGCTCGAGAAGAATACGCCGGTGAGGAAGAGGAGGGAGGATGGCCGGGCTGGTCGTCGCTCGAAATGAAATGGGAGGTCGCCAGCAGCAGCAAACGAAGGAGGACGAAGCGGCGAGAAGATTAGGGTTTTGCTTTTGATGATTCGGCCGAATTTTTTTTTTTTTTTTTTCCTTCACCACAAAACGACGCCGTGTCGTCCCTGTTAGCTGGCCCCCGGTCAGACCAAAACCGGCCGGCTTTTTGATTTGAACCGGTTTTACCGGTCAAACCGTCCGAGACGGCTTCTTCTCCACAAACCGCGTATCGTATCGGCCAGGCTCCGATTTCCGGTTTTACCGGTTCAACCGGCCGGTACGATCCGGTTTCCTTTACCATGAGCCAAACACAAACCCAAACAAAATAGTCCCTTAACACAAAACAAACCCAAATCAAATTCAAGTCATATTCTAACAATCTCCACCTTGACTTGAATTCTATGCCAAATACCAGATGTACCAGACGCAACCAAAATTGCCAGATGTACCCATACGCGATACATATCGCCAAAATCAAACGCGATGCAAATCGCCAAACTCAGATGCAATCAAAATTGTCAGATGTACCAAACTTCTCCAAATCAGCTGTACCAGAATCTCCCCTGCCTTGAAATGCCCCTATGGGGCGGTCAACAACTCAAACCATTCGGAAAATCCAACCCATGTTGAGACTTGTCATTCAGAACCAGTTTGGTGCACTTATCACCAACAGAACATGTCAAAATAGAACCTTGTAGACCATACAAGGCACCAACCTTGACACCTTTCAGAATCACCTTATAACCCTTGTAGACAGATATCACTCCACCTTCACTTTTGAAACTGAAACCCTTGCTGTCTAGTAAACTCAAAGATATCAGATTCTTAGTCATCTCTGGAATATCATTGTTCAAGGTGCGAACAGAACCATCATGTGTCCTCATCCTGATGGAGCCTCTTCCAACAATCTTGCAGATAACACCATTGGCCATAGAGACATGTCCTCCATCTATCTGCTCATAAGTTAAAAAACACTCCCTGCTTGGACACATATGATAATCAGCTACAGTATCTAAATACCACACATCCTGATGATGTACCTGTTCATTCACTACTAAGGCTAAACCATCTTTAGAATCAAAGTTAGTTTCTTCCGCCACAGCAGCAGATGATTCCTTCTTCTCCTGATATTTCTTTAGTTTAGGACAATCAAATTTCCAATGCCCTTTTCCTTACAGTAATGACAGATATCATCCTTCAAACCAACAGAATTTGAATTTACAGTCGTCTTCCTATTATCAGATTGTTGTCTCCTACTACTCGTATCAGCCAACCTAGATGCCTGATTTCCCAAACTTGAACCAGACGCCTTATCTCGAACTTCTCTAGTATGTAGAGCAGATCAGACATCTTCCAGAGTCAAACTATCTTTTCCAGCAATAAAAAAATCCACAAAATTCTCATACGACCGTGGCAAAGATACTAACAGAATTAAGGCAGCATCCTCATCATCTACTTTAATATCAATATTCCGCAGATCTAACAAGATAGTATTGAGTTGATCTAGATGATTCCTGAGAGATGTACCTTCCTCCATATGCAGACTGAAAAAACGTTGCTTCATATGCAACTTGTTGGTTAAAGGCTTTGTCATGTATAGACTTTCAAGTTTCAACCACAACCCCACGGCAGTCTTCTCAGCAGCAACCTCAGTGATGATGTCATCAGCCAAACAAAACAAGATTGTAGAGTGAGCTTTCTCCTCCAAAGTAATCCACTCTTCTTCATCTATACTTTCCTTCTTCGATTTTCCACTTGTTTGTAACGATCTTCCTTCCCTGTGGTCATTTGACTAGCTCCCAAGTCTGATTCTTGTCATGGGATTCCATATGATCTCCCATAGCGGCAAGCCACTGATCAGCTTTGCCACATGAAAAGACTTCTCTATAGGACTGTGGTTCAACTGCATCCACTTCTTCAGCAACCTGAAATGAATACGCCACCATATCCTCAAAGCCATACCTCTCTTGAGGTATTCCTGGATTCGCTCTCTTCGGTCTACCGGAAGCCATAGACTATTGAGCTCGTGCACTGGACTGTGAAGTTTCTGGGTCTGTAGAAACATGCTCATGTTGATCTTCTCCACCTTGGTGCTCAAACTCACTCTCTTTGAGAGTTTTGCAGCTACACCTGCTTATCAACATTCCTGCTACCTTCAACAACAATAACCTTCACCATGGGGTTAAACATAGACTTCTCATCAAATATCACATTTCGAATGAGTATAACTTGATGCTCAGAAAGTGACCAGACTGGAAATCCCTTAACTCCATCTCCATAACCCACAAATACACCCTTCTTTGCCATTTGGTTCAGTTTACCCTCATCCACATGATAATAAACAGGACAGCCAAAAACTTTCAGTGAAGAGTAATCAGCAGGCTTACCATATCACACTTCATAAGGAGTCTTACACTCGATACCTGTGTGAGGTCCACGGTTGATCAGGAAGCACGCCATGATCACTGCTTCTGCCCAGAATCTTCTCTCTAGTCCAACATTAGGGAGCATGCACCGTGCTCTCTCCAACAATGTTTGGTTCATCCTTTCTGCAATGCTATTCTGCTGGGGTGTATCTCTAACGGTTCGATGACGGGCAATCCCTTCATCTTTGCAAAATTTCTTGAACCCAGAACTGCAGAACTCCAGACCATTGTCGACTTTGGGCAAAGCCCGCACGGTTTTACTTTTGGGTTCCTTCCCAAAAGTACTCGTACTAATTGGGCTAGGTGGACACTAATATACAAGAGTTCCTTCCTTTGTATTTCCGATGTGGTACTTGGATTATCCCATAACAAAGATTATACCAAAATATACAAAACACTTGAAGGTAAAAACAATGTCGTCCACGGTAGTCGCTGGTTTAACCAACCGGTTCCAATAACTCGAATTGTTGGTAGAAGTCCATGTATGATACTTGACCACTTTCTACCACGCACAATCAAACGAAACTCACTTCATGGGTTTGAACGTCGCACATGCCCGTCATACCATGTGCTTAAGACAACCGTTTATATTGTGTGTCGTGAAAACTTGAACACATTAAATCAAAAGATGTTCACGTATAATAATTAATTAACCACTTGCAATAAAAACTCAAACAACATAAACATATATGTCTTTTATTAACTTTCAACAATGGATACTTGTTTCATTAGTTTCTTTTTTTCCCCTCCTTACACATGCACTCTTTACATATGACACTTTAGATCCCGTAATAATATATATATGGTATCCCTAGCTTCCGTTATATCTCTCTCTATAGGTGTATATATAAAACAAATTACCACGAGAAAGAGAGGCATAATCACGACCACAACGCTTAACCAACAGATTACCAATACCAATTAACTTTAATTACGACACACATCAACATTAATTATTTTATACTTAATAATCCCCATTAACCAAGTAATCAAGTAAAAGAGCCACTAATTAATCCATGCACGCCGGCGCGACCGGAGAAGACAAACCTGCGTAAACCTCGAGCGCATCATCGCTCAACTTGTGGACGAAGTAAGACAGGTAGTCCGAATAGGTGAAGGGACGGTACATGAGCGGGTGGTCTCCGTCCACCAGCTGATCGGCCACCGCGACGGTGGAGTCATCCTTGGGCATCAAGAAACTGCCCCACGAGTACCTCTCCTCCTCCCCACGTATCACCACCCGGTGTCGAACCGGGTGGAGCCGCCCGTTGCTCCACGCCTTGAGCGTGTCCCCGACGATCGCGATGAAGGCGCCGTCCGGGATGACCGCGGGTACCCAGCCGCCGTTCTTGGGCTGGATCTCCAGGCCCTGGACGTCGTTCTGGCCCAGGATGGTGAGGGTGTTCTTGTCCGTGTGGGCCACCAGCCCAATTCCGTTCGCAGGAGCAGGGGTGGGAGGGACCTTGTACTTCATGAGGCGGAAGTAGCTGGCGGTGTCGGCGGCGTGGTGCTCCTCCGCGTCCAGGCCGTAGCTGGTGAATAGCATCTTCATGATGAGGAGGTTCAGCTCCTGCATCTTGCCGCTCATCTCCTTCACTGCCTCACTGTTTGCATACATAGATATATTAGTTCCAATAACTCGAGTTGCAGGGGCGGAGCTAGGAATTAAAGTTCGGGGGGGTCGGAGTTAGTTAGTACATAATCGCGAAAATATTTTAAAAAAATTATAATGACATAACATTAGTTAAAAATAATAAAAATAGAATTAATTTAAAGTATTCTAGTATGCGATGTTCAAAATAAATTATTATACTATGAAAAAATTATCATACACTTTAACATGTAATTTTTTCAATATTATTATACCTTGAATATGAATTTATGATTATATTAGTGTTTGTATGAATTATTATTTAATTACATATCCAAGACAGATCCATGAAATATTAATTTAAAAGTTCAATAACTTGACTGACATTATTTGAAATCCTAGGATCTATAAGACTAAGCAGGGAAATTGAATAAAAGGAAAATCGTAGAATTAAACTAAAAATAAAATAAGTAAATATCATAAAAAAGCTGCCTACCAGGTTCGGACTTGGTACCTGCTGGTAGCAATTCGACTACAAATCCGGCAGACCATAAGCAAATTATGCCAACAATGTCTCACTCGGATTTAAAATACATTTAACGTTGATTTTATACGTAATTCTCGAAAGTTCCTAAGACTTTATACGTAAGTTTCTAAATTCTCGGGGGGGCCGGGGCCCCTCGAGAGCCTACATAGCTCCGCCCCTATCGAGTTGTACACATGCACGCACGCGTACTAATAATTCATAACGTATTAAAAAACAGACAATCGGAAAACAAATTTTTCTTCCTTAATTGATGTAAACATATAACGTATTCAAAAACAGATTTGTGTTAATGCTTATGCTTTAAAAGGATGAATGAATTAACAAATGAGATAAGGGAACCGAAGAAACATGCAGAAATTAGGGCAGAATTTAATGGAAGGCCGGCTGTCTCTACATTACAGGTAGATCTAAAAAAAATAGACTGACATCTTATGTATAATTCTTGTTGTCAATCGGTTAAGTAAACGTATCGATTTCATTTGTTGAATTGATCAAATCATATATTCGACGATAAGAGAAGTTAATAATTTTGGTCCATTTTTTTGTTATGGGTGGGGTTTGTTTTTTTGGGATTGGAACTTGTTACTTTCTAGCTGATTTTCTGCAACGACATGTGCAGAGTGGAACTAGCTACTAGATACCATTTATGTGTACAATAAAAGCAAGGGCTAGCTAGCTGCTGCCTGGAAACACTGGTATTAAATTGAATCTGTTTGGAAGGATAAGCCCCTAATAAATATAGTGAGGGGGCAGTCTAGACTCTAGAGACAATAGCAGAATTGGCTGGTTGTGACTTATACAACACAATTGTCTAAATTTAGCTGGAAATGAAATTAAAAAAAAAATTATTTCCTGGGAAAATAGAACGATAATTAATCAAAAAATACAATAACATCTTCCAAACTTCGTGGTTCATTTTTTTTTTTTTTTTTTTTGTGTGGCTCTCAAGTGTTATTTTGCTATATATAAAAAATCCATTTTAATTCCCACGCCATTGAAAGTGACTTGTCTTATATGCACAAAGCAGCCCTTGGAGTAGTCAATTCGATCTGTTATTTTTTGGGGCTGTTTTTAAGGTTCCAAGTCCAAAGACTAAAATGGGATTGTCATATTTTCATAGTACATACCAAAAATCTCACCATCAATATTATCCCACCACCATTTGAACACTAGTTTACCGTCGTCGATCACCTTAAATATAATTTCACCCCGAAAAATTCAATCTATAAAATTGACGGTTAAACTGAAAAAATCATACCAACTTGATGATAGGGTAGTTATAAGGAGAAGGAGAAAGATGAAAGGGATGTCATTTGCATCGTGTGTTGGGTTACTGAATTAATTAATTAATTACGACTCAAATTTAAGGTAATGAATTAAAAAGATTACCAGAAGGAAGGGTTGCCTTGGGGCCACATGAGTGTGGTAAAAGCCCGAGCTTGTTCAAGGTTGGGAGCATGGTCGATGCCGAAGCTCTCGAGGTAAGGAACGGCGTCGTTCTTCCCCAGGTAGCTCCGGTAGGGTTTGGGGTTGACGTGCCTCTTCTTGGTGTCCTCCGGCAGCTCGAACAGCTGCCGGAGCCCTTCCACCATGCCTTGCCTCAGCCCCGACGGGATCCGCTCCGTCGAGAAACAGAAGCAGCCGTGGGTCTCGCACGCCTCCCGCACCTTGTCGCACAGCTCCCTCCACCACCCGCCGGCGTTGTCCCCCTCGCCGAGGTCGAAGAAGGGGATTTCGTAGGGCTTCTGCTGGTCGCCGCCGTTGGCTGCCGTAGGAACCACCATGGTTTTTGTGTTTTCTGGAAGTGAAATGGAATATTTGTGGGGGGGTTTTGTTTTGTTTTGTTTTGTTGAAGGGGGGAGATCGATCGGGGAGGGCATTATATAAAGGGGGAGAGGGCCGGGTGTCCACTTCAGAACAGATACGACCAAAAGTTAGGGGCAGCTCGCTAGCTATGGAAGAAAGAGTTTACTTTGGGACACTATAAGTGGAAAAGAAGACAATAAAAATAAATTTAAGGGCAGGGGCTACCAACCTAGCATCCACTACAATTCATTCTCATCTATGGTATGTATGGGTAGGTGTGCAACATTTCGGTTCTGACCGGATCTGATCAAATTCAAAAGAAGTGCAGCTCGGCCTATTTTTCTTCGGTATTCATTAATTTCATGAGATTATGGACCTGACAATATTATATTCGTGACTCAGTGTGGTCCGGACCGAATCATACGGTCCAGTGCCGACCAACCCCTTGCACACCCCTAGACATGGCAAGCCACGACCATTTCTCATTGTATATAGCATTCTCTTTTCATTTTTGTATATGTGAAATGATGTTTATATTACATATTCACATTATAATATACTCGTACTGTAATTTTAATAATTATGCATAATTATACTAGATATTGATAATTTTATGTTATTAACAAAGTGTGCTTCTCACTTCAAATTTTTGTTAGTCAAGGCAGCTGCGTCACAACCGGCAGTACGTAGTCTACTAGCTAGCCTTCGGATTCCGACGTACATCAGGATGTGTCTAATCCTTACCCGGCCTGTGAAATTTGCTTGTTGCAAGAGATGTGAAAGGAGATGCTGGAAAAGTGGTCTTTCGACGGCTTAGCCAAGCCCAAGGTATGGTGGTGGGTTCTCTACTCTTGGAGGATCCGATCCCTAGCTACTCAGGGAGTGTCGTCAGCTAGCTAGTCGAGTCTTTTTGTCATTGTTTAGTGTTTAGGGAGGTGTCGAGAACTGTCAACTAAACTGTCCATAAAATTAGAATTAGCTTATTTAATTTGTTGGGTGATGACTTCACTATAGTTGGACCTAGAGATTTTAGGTAGAAGTCATTCCTAACTATTGTCTCTTGTCATTCTTGAAAGAAGAAGAAAAAGTGTCACAACAGTTGCGGTTCACAAAAATCATGTTTTGAATCTTGGCTGACATGTTGGAACGTACGTAACGACCCAATTTATTAGGACACCTTCAAAAAGAGCAATGTCGTGTTTCAGCAGGGCTCTCAGATTGGTTTTACTTATACGTTATATATATATATGTCTCTGATTGCTTGTTAACACGTTAATGTCAACAATTAATTAATGGTCTTAATTAGTGGAGTCAGGAAACCGTTATGCATGATTAATGAACCATTATAGGGCTGAATTAATGTACAGTAAGACGAATCAACTTTCAGAAAACAAAAGCAGTATATATATATATATATATATGGTGGCAACTTCGGTGCACTCACTTTTTTGGGTGCATTCAGTGCACCCACCTCTAAAAGTGGTCATAATACATCAAATTTTGAAATTTAATGGGTAGCATTAGTCTCATATGATGATATAACACAGAATCACAACTAATCAACTCATTACCCTAACCTATTAACATTCAATTTTGAATCTAAACCCAAAATCCCAAATTGTAAACCCTAACCCTAACCCTAAATTCCTAAACCCCGAATCATTCAAATTAAAGTGAATCTTGAATGATTTTTGTACAAATTCATGTGGTTCTTGTTCATCATACTACAAGGGATGATTGACATCGTTTTCACATGAATCGCCTGCTCAGAATGACGATTATGAGGCGGGTGCATTGAATGCACCCAAAAAAGTGGGTGCACCGAAGACATAACCATATATATATATATATACACACATTTCTGGGGTTATACGATATTCCGGGCAATCTTAATGAGATATCACCATCTAAATTATGAATTAAACTGAATTTGTCATATTATAGCCTAACATCTAATGGATAAATCTCAGGTCTCAATTCTTTAAATTCAAACTTGAAGATCAATTTAACAAAAAAAAATGATTAATCGACGATTCTGCTTTATCGAAATTCAACAGAGTACATCTAATGATTAGATTATTTGAAGTAAAGTATTCTACGTGACTACATCTGTCGTTACCATACACAAATGAGTGAGATTGCTTTTGATAGTTAACTTGCTTTAGTTTTGGAGACTAAATACCTAATATTAATGTTGTAATATGACAACCAAAAATAGGGCATAGTAGGCAGCTGGCTATGTATAGTTCAATCACTAGGTGCTAGAAATGACTAGACAAGGGTTAATGGCATTTTCATTTTTTATAGTGTGTTGTTTTGAGATAGATATGATGTAGATAATTAAGTTCTTTCTACACACAAAAGAAATATAATTAGATTCTAACTCTAAACGAGCTTATAACTAACTAATAGGGATGAAAATATTTGTAATTCTGAGAATAAAAACTGACAAGCGAGATGGTTCCATCAACAACAGGTTAGTTAAAAATCATAATCTTGGAACGTGTTTGTTAGAGCAACTGGTGAAAGGAAAATGAAAGTAGTATATATGCATGCAGTTTGTGGCCTGTGCTGGGAATGTTTTAGAAAGTTTATCATATCAACCGGTCAGATCACAAATGTCGGATATTGGACTCCTAATGATAGGCCGTTTTTGTGGTACGAAACGATTGAACCACGGTTTTCGTACAAAATATTCCATCGTTAACTTTCAGGTATAACCTTGAGTACTGTTTCACAATCGGAGGAGAGAAGACCCATACACCAACATGGATCGGAATCTCATTTTGTGATGAGAGGAAGCCAGCCAGCAAGGAGCTGCTGGTGCCCTATGCCTGTCATACTGACACTATTTTGAAGGGTATATGTATGCATAACAATAGGGTACCCCCACTTTCCCATTAATGGGAGGTTGCCAAAGTTGCAGAAACAAACACATTCTTTGTAAAGGAGAAAACGTATAGGGCAGTATTGAATGACATGTCTGATACGTTGTAAGGGAAGTTTCGAAAAAAAGAAGGAGCTGGCTGGCTGGCTTTTGTATAATTGAAATTGAATTGGGAGTCTGTTTTGGATGGGTTGGTTGGCAGACCCTCTTAAAGTTTCTGTTTTGAGTTGGTTGCTACTTTGTGGAAGCAACGTAACTTCCAGTTCTCTTTACACCCTTTTTTTTTTGGGTCTGGGAGACCCTGTCTGGCTATATTTGTTTCATAGTTGTTAAGAAGTTTGATAAAAAAAAATAATAATAATGTCATATGAGTTTCTTACCTAAAACACATCATGTCATGCAGTTACAATGTTACATGGTGTCTAAGGGTAGAAGTGACAATTCCGGATCACAGTGTATTTTGTAGGACGTTACAAGGCTAAATTGCAAGTTTGATCACTGGAATTACATACAAAGTTCACGTTTGCCACTAAAATTAATTTATTTCATCCATAGTCACTCAAAGTAGTCTAACAATTTAAGTTTGGTCACTCTCTGTTAAGTAAGTGACGTGACAATTAAAAAATTAATAAAAAATAAAATTTAAACTTTTCTATTTCCAACACATTTTTACACCCATTGAAAAATAAAAAAAAGAATTTAATCTCTTATCAACTGCACCCACACCACTTGTTCCATCACCTCGTTCTCCGACATTTTGAGGATCGTGATCCTGCCCGACCCAAAATCCAAATCCGTCCTCGATCGGTTCAGATCCTGCTACTCGGTTACGGGGGAGGCGGTTCTCTCCAAGCCCTTCTCCATGAATACAAATGGGAGCAGAAATGATTTTCTCCAAGCCCTTGTACGACAAGTTGGTCGCCAGAGGAGCTAGATTATATTGGCACTGATCACATAGGAAGTTGGTTTCCCTTATGTGATTCCTTCCAGCAGCAAGGAAGTTTTTGAAGGAGACGATCGAGCCGTTATGTTGGTGGAAGGGACATTCAACGGGAATGGGTTTATGTACGATTTCATGAACTTGGGGAAGCAACTGGGTTCGAGTTACACTCGTTTAATTAAGGTGCTTAGTTCTTGTACAAGCTTCATTCTTGTGCGGGAGGGCTGACCGTATTCGCTGACGGATGGAATCAGGAGAGCACAAGTGAGTTATTCAACCACAAGAGCTCCGAGAATATGAAAACTCGGAATCGCCCACTTTTATATCCAATCCATCTCGCTTCCCAATCCCAATGACGGAACTCGCCAACTAATCACCGAATTCCCCATTAATTTTTTCCGCCTCTCGAACCGCCCAGGCCTCCGACAAGTACGGTTGGGGAATTGCCGATTCATCCATAGCCGACCTTCCTCCCTAGTCTCTACAACCCGGGGAGAATCTACGCCAAGCTGGAAGCGTCGTGGCGGAGTTGCTCACACTAGCAAACCGCGGCGCACCAGAACTGGTCGTCGTTCTCGTCGCAGATCTCGGTGATGCCGACCTCGTATGTGATTCTGTGGTCGGGCTCCTGGGCGCTGATGCGACAGAAGTGACACTCATTCTGCTGCTGCGACTTTCGTTGGGTCCTTGACTCCCAAATTCGGCCGATTTCGAATTGGGCCGGACAAACTTTGGAAGAGAAGGAAAGAGCGGAGAGTAGAGCAAACTTTTTATTTATTTATTGGAAAGCATAGCAAACTTTTTTTTTTATCAGAAAGCATAGCAAGCTTGGAACTGTCGATGCGATGAAATTGGGCTTAATTTATGTGGGAATTTTTTTTTTATTTATTTGTTAACTTATTGTGATAATGAGATGGAATTTTTAAAGAATTAATTTTTTAATTTTTTAATTGCCACATCACTTATTTAACGTTCAACTATGAGAGTTGACTATCCTATCAGCAAAATCTAACGGAGACTAACAGAGACTCAGAGAGTGACCAAACTTAAATTGTTGGACTAATTTGAGTGATCACGGATGAAATAAATTAATTTGAGTGATAAACATGAACTTTGTATGTAATTCCAGTGACCAAACTGTAGCATCCCGAACCTTTTCCCGACAAGATACTGTCTGCTTTGGGCCTCTACACCCGTACGGATTTCGACTTGGGGTGC